GTACGTGATAAGTACAGCAAATACCAAAATCTTTAGATTGACGGACAAATGTCAACTGTTCATAGCTTTGGATCGAACTTGTTAGGTGTAGATTCACATGTATATATTCGTATTTCCACCCTTCGCAGTAGACGTTATTATTTATTTTATAATGTGTAGAGTGCAATACGTGTCCATCATGAAATAACATTTTTATGAGTCGATATACTACATATACGTGTATGGTACATATACAGTAACAAAATTCACATACGAGTCAACGTAATTATATCTATGCAACAATGTTTCTCAGAGTCGACGTAAAGAAAATAGGAGACAAAATCGTCAAACATTGCATAGAAAAGTATATCTTTATTTAATGTTGGTTTGAGTTATAATTCTGTGATATATATTTAAGCTATAGATATTTAATTTTTCTATGAAATTTTAATCTTTCTATAGCTCTTGACGTTACTGATTCTTCTAGAATGCTTGTAATACCAAAACCTCTTTCTCTTATTCACAAAACTATAACATTGAAATTGTTTTCTTTATCCTTAAATCTACATTTACACATAAGACAAGATTGATAAGGAATATAACACTAATATAAAATACACGAAGTAAAAGTACTTTTATAAATATTTATTTAACGGTTATTTTTAATTAATTTACCTAAATAAAGTTATTACAAAAATTATTATAAGAGTGTACTAAATTGTATTTGATTAAAACAACGATGTGCAGTATAATTTTAAGGATAACTGAAAAAATTTTATACATTTCCCTTAATTTTTACGTGAAATATTTTTTGTCGAACTCCCTTCTCATAGTCACTTGGAACCTATTAATTAATTTGCAATAATATATCTCTTAACAAAAAACTTGTTATCACGAACCGAAATTGTACAAGTACAACGCTTATGTGACGATTTCTTAGTATGTGTCTCTTGGCGATAGAGTGAAAAAAAATAAAACAAAAAACATTTAATTATTGAAGTCATTTTTAGTTATTGTTGTATGAAGTGATCTCCATTTAAATTAAGGATTGAAATCAAGGATAAAAACCATTATCACGTCTCTAATATAGAGTAAAGAAGTTATCACATCATGTATATACATATATTATTGTTTCACATACATATATGTATATAACAATAATGTATAAATCATATTTGTGCGGATTTCATGAGAAGTGCGTAAGTAGTTTTATCAAAAACATCACACGTATATTTGTTTTTTAGAATTTTGTTAAAGACATGTATATTATTTTCATTAAGTGCTACAAGCACTATTAAACATTTATATGTTGCAGTTCTTGATTATAGAAAGAATATTAATTCATGTATTTGCATTGATATAATACCGTCAATCCTTTATTGCCAGTAAAACCTTCACATTATAACACGAGTAACACTTCAATTCCATCGATCATTCACAGAATCATACCCTCATTTTTTGCAGTAAGTTATAAGTAGAATAAGACGTCTTAAGTATCTAGAATTAATAGATAATCTTTGTTAAAATAATGTTCAATTTTAGTTAGTCAATTTGCAGCTTATTTTGTCAATAATATTATTAAATACTCTAAATTTTAACGGTAAATAAATATTGTGTTGTATTTGGTTATTGTCACAAATAATAGTTCCAATTTTGCTTTACCGAATTCATGTATTAACCAATGTAATTTTAATTTATTAAATCGTTAATATTAAAGTAATAATATTTTAAAAATTTATCAGAATATTTTAATATTATAAAAATGTATTATAAATCTCTCCTCAAGTGTAAAACATATTTACTATCTAATCTATCTAAATCTAATCTAATAAATACATTTAAAACAAAAATTAGACTAAATTAACGCTTCAATAATATCTATACTAACACCCATAAAAGAATTAATATTCATGGGAATAATATAAGCACAGGTAATCTGAATAGGCATAATCGTTCGCCTCATTATTATCATCAGAGATTTCTTTTTATTTTCATCCAATGACAACCACTCCATTTCGAAAATATTGTCAATCATTTGTTGACTCTACTGAAACATGTAAAATATATTCATAAATGCAAATAAATATTTATACTACAAATAGCATTAAGAAACAAAATTTATTTATGTCGTACTGATATTTTGTAGATATTAAAATGTCCTAAAAAAATATACTATTAAAATTTTGCAACTAAATATGGACTAAATAAATTTAGCATTTATTTAAAAGCATCTGTAGCATATCTACTATACACTAAATGTCTACTACCATACCTTTATCTTCAATTCGTTTCCATACCAACAATAGAAGAAGATTTGCGTTAACATAGAAGATATATATAATGTCATTTCAATATATTTAGCTTTAGTCGTTATTTTACTTATTTGATAGAGGCTGAAGCATACTACCAACGTACTCATTATAAACTGAATAGTAATAGTCAGTCTAAACTTTGCATTTACAATAAAAGCAAGTCTATAATTTAACAATTTTGTTCGTACAATAACATATTTAAAAAACTATACTTGATGAAAGTAATATTATGTTAAGATGTAATTGATAATAATTATAAAATGCTTATAAGAATTTGTAAAATTGGTAAAATTGTAAAACTTAACCTGATGATATGATAATGTTGATGTATGCAATCGCGAAGAACGTACGAATAAGATACAACTTTTCTCAAACGATAGAGTAAAATCTCAATTTGACAGCAAATATGAACTAATAATCCACAGATGAGAGTATCGCAGCCAATATTTAAATATGCTGCAGCAATCAAACTTATGAGTTGATGAGTGTACATCAGAGAGAATAATAACGTTGATGAGTAATCAAATGGCAACCATGCTCTGAACGTTAATTGTCTATTTTTGAAGCTTATAGATAAAGAAGATAACACGATACATGTTAATGTTACCGTTCCCAAATATACGAAACGCCAGGTATTAATTCTAAAATAATTATAAAATATTATTTAAATATATGGTAAATTTCAAACTTTTAATATAAATTTTTTACGCATTTTAAGTCTTGGTAACTCTGGTCCTAATCGAAACTTTTATACTGTATTTGATAATAGTGAATTTATATTACATGAATAGGTAGATAAAATCAATTATTAATTATTTGAATATTTATCCATAAAATGATAAAAGTTGCTTATTTTTTATATTTATTCTTTCTCTCTTTCCGCTTTTCTATATTTTTCCACATCAACACCGATTAAATTTTAGGTAATAGATACTCTTTTTACCCGCAAACAAAAATGCAATATAAAAACTTAAATTAGGATCCAAAATACATAGATTTATAACAGAAAAGCATGGGATTTGTTAAGCCCTCGTGGGTTAATTCAAAAAGCAATTTAAATTTAATAACTCATAATTATATTCTCTTTCATATTCTATTTACGATAAATTAATTATATTAAACATTTAAACAAAAAAATTGTTAAAAATCATGATTTAAAAAGTAATAGAAAATATATAACTTTAACTTTATTAACATAATATATTATGATATTGTTGATGTTTGTTATTACTTACTGTATACTTTTATCGAATTTATGAAAAATGTTCATTTCTGTCGATTTCGACGGTCTACATGGTTTGTCCATCAACATGTCGATCAGCATGATAATATTTTTACGATTCATAAGCAAAATAAATAGTTTACAACAAGAAATAAACATAGAAATTAGTACAAAGAAATTTTCAGAAAAATCGTCGGCATTATTCACTGTTAGGATTACGTCCATCAATTGCGATAGCAGAAAAGAATTTAATAATAAAACTATTATACTTGTATATATGTTGTATGCTACTCGTTTATGAAACGATGACCAAGAATCCGGTCGCCAACATCCAGATAACGTTAAGAGTGTAAAATTAAACTTAAGTATGCGCATTTTTTCAGAAGATTATCCTCTTTGATATCATCTATGAAACACACAGTGCATGTAACTGAATACTGCCAACTTTTTTATAACATACCAAATTATTACTTAAACACATATTTAAAATAAATAGCAATTTTGTCACTTAATAAAAATGCTATTTTCATTATATGAATTTAAGAAATATCTTTTTTTAAATTTCGTAATGTTATTTTGCAAATATTATTTGTTCATTACATTTATAGCCAAAGTAGCTCTCTGATTAATTTAATAATTATATGTAAACATTGCGATATTAGCCGTAAAAAACAAATCGAAATATTATTATAAAAGTGAAATACTTTAAGCAATCACACAACCGAAGTATAGTAAACATCAAATTCTTTAGAATGACTAGCCAGTGTCGACAGTCTATTACTTTGCTGTCAGATCGAACTTCTTAGATGTAGATATCCACATGTGTGTCCATATTTCCACCCTTCACAGTAACTTCATTATTCATTTTATAGTGTGTCCCTCGCACTGTATCCCTCATGAAATAATTCTTTTATGAGTTGGTATGCAACATGTATATACACAGTAGTAAAAGTCACTACAGTGACGTAGTGTAATTACCTACACCTATAAATGCAACAATGCTTTTCAAACGCAAACTACAGGAAACACAATACAAAATTTTCAAGTATTGAACAGAAAATGATACCTTTATTTAATATTGATTTAGGTTTAGGATATAATTCTGTGTTACCTAGTCTCTAAATATTTAAATTTTCTATGAAATTTTAATCTTTCTATAGCTCTTGACGTTACTGATTCTTCTAGAATGCTTGTAATACTAAAACCTCTTTCTCTTATTCACAAAACTATAGTGAAATATTTTTTCTCGAACTCCCTTCTCATAGTCACTTGGAACCTATTAATTAACTTGCAATAATATATCTCTTAACAAAAAACTTATTATCGCACATCGAAATTGTACAAATACAAAGCTTATGTGACGATTTCTTAGTGTGTCTCTTGGCGATAGAGTGAAAAAAAATAAAACAGAAAGCATTTAATTATTGAAGTCATTTTTAGTTATTGTTGTATGAAGTGATCTCCATTTAAATTAAGGATTGAAATCAAGGATAAAAACCATTATCACGTCTCTAATATAGAGTAAACAAGTTATCACATCATGTATATACATATATTATTGTTTCACATACATATATGTATATAACAATAATGTATAAATCATATTTGTGCTGATTTCATGAGAAGTGCGTAAGTAGTTTTATCGAAAACATCACACATATATTTGTTTTTTAGAATTTCGTTAAAGACATGTATATTATTTTCATTAAGTGCTACAAGCACAATTAAACATTTATATGTTGCACTTATTGATTATAGTAAGAATATTAATTCATGTATTTGCATTGATATAATATCGTGAGTCCTTCGTTGCCAGTAAAACCTTAACATTATGACATGCCTAGCACTTTAATTCCATCGATCTTTCATAGAATTATATTCTCATGTTTTGCAGTAAGTTATAAGTAGAATAAGACGTCTTAAGTATCTAGAATTAATAGATAATCTTTGTTAAAATAATGTTCAATTTTAGTTAGTCAATTTGCAGCTTATTTTGTCAATAATATTATTATATACTCTAAATTTTAACGGTAAATAAATATTGTGTTGTATTTGGTTATATTGTCACAAATAATAGTTCCAATTTTGCTTTACCGAATTTTTTATTAAACAACGTATTTAATTTATTAAATCGTTAATATTAAAGTAATATATTTAAAAAATTTATCAGAATATTTTAATAATATAAAAGTGTATTATAAATCTCTCCTTAAGTGTAAAACATATTTACTATCTAATCTATCTAAAAATTCAATCTAACAAATATATCTGAAACAAACATTGGACTAAATTAGCGCTTCAATAATAATTATACTAACACCCATAAAAGAATCAATATTCATGGGAATAATATAAGCACAGGTAATCTGAATAGGCATAATCGTTCGCCTCATTATTATCATTAGAGACTTCTTTTTATTTTCATCCAAGGTCAACCACTCCATTCCGAAAATATTGTCAATCATTTGTTGACTCTACTGAAATATGTAAAATATATCAATAAATGCAAGTAAATATCTAGACTACAAATCTATACTACAAATCTATACTACAAATAGCATTCAGAAACGAAATATATTTATGTCGTACTGATATTTCGTAGATATTAAAAAGTCTTAACAACATATACTATTAATATTTTGCAACTAAATATAGGCTAAATAAATTTAGCAATTATTAAAAAGCATCCGTAGCACACGTACCATACACTAAATGTCTACTATCATACCTTTAGCTTTAATTCGTTCCCATACCAACAATACAAGAAGATTTGCGTTAACATACAAGATATATATAATGTCATTTCAATATATTTAGCTTTAGTTGCTATTTTACTTATTTGATAGAGGCTGAAGCATACTACCAATGTACTCATTATAAACTGGATAGTAATAGTCAGTCTAAATTTTGCATTTACAATAAATGCAAGTCTAAAATTTAACAATTTTGTTCGTACAATAACATATTTTAAGAAAACTATACTTAATGGAAGTAATATTATGTTAAGGTATAATTGATAATAATTAAAAATGCTTTTAAACATTTGTAAAAATGGTAAAATTGTAAAACTAACCTGATGATATGATAATGTTGACGTATGCAATCGCGAAGAACGTCAGAATAAGATACTACTTTTCTCAAACGATAGAGTAAGATCTCAATTTGACAACAAATATGGACTAATAATCCACAGATGAGAGTATCGCAACCAATATTTAAAAATGCTGCAGTAACCAAACTTATCATTTGATGAGTGTACATCAGAGAGAATAATAGCGTTGATGAGTAATCAAATGGCAACCATGCTCTGAATGTTAATTTTCTATTTTTGAAGCTTATAGATAAAGAAGATAACACGATACATGATTGTGTTACCGTTCCCAAATATACGTAGCGCCAAGTATTAATGCTAAAATAATTATAAAATATTGTTTAAATGTATAATAATTTTCCAAGTTTTCATATCAATTTTTTACGTATTTTAAGTCTTGGTAACTCTGATCCTAATCAAAACTTTTAATACTGCATGTGGTATTTAGAGATATTGTTGATGTTTGTTAATACTTACTGCATGCTTTTATCGAATTTATCAAAAATGTTCATTTCTGTCGATCTCGACGGTCTACATGGTTTGTCCATCAACATGTTGATCAGCATGATAATATTTTTACGATTCATAAGCAAAATAAATAGTTTACAACAAGAAATAAACATAGCAATTAGTACAAAGAAATTATCAGAAAAATCGTCGGCATTATTCACTGTTAGGATTACGTCCATCAATTGCGATAGCAGAAAAGAATTTAGCAATAAAACTATTATACTTGTATACATGTTGTATGCTACTCGTTTATGCAACGATGACCAAGAATCCGGTCGCCAACATCCACATATCGTTAAAAGTTTAAAAGTAAACGTAAGTATGCGCATGTTTTAGAAGATTATCATACTCTTTGATATCATCTGTGAAACACATATTACATGTAACTGAATACTGCCAACTTTTTGTAACATGCCAAATTATTACTTAAACACATATTTCAAATAAATAGCAATTTTGTCACTTCAAAAAATGCTATTTTTATTATAGGAATTTAAGAAATATGTTTTTAATTTTGTAATTGTACTTTACAAATATTATTTGTTTATTACATTTATAGCCAATGTAGCTCTCTGATTTATTTAATAATTAGAAGTAAACATTGTGATATTTACCGTAAAAAATGAATCGAAATATTATTAAAAAGAGAAATACTTTAAGCGATCACACAACCGAAGTATAGTAAACATCGAAATCTTTAGAATGACTGGCCAGTGTCGATAGACTATTACTTTGCTGTCAGATCGAACTTCTTAGATGTAGATATCCACATGTGTGTCCATATTTCCACCCTTCACAGTAACTTCATTATTCATTTTATAATGTGTCCGTCGCAATGCATCCCTCAGAAATAATATTCTTATGAGTTGGTACGCGACATGTATACATATACACAGTAGTAGAAGTCACTACAGTGACGTAGTGTAATTACCTACACCTTAAATGCAACAATGTTTTTCAGAGGCAAACTGCAGGAAATACGAGACAAAATTTTCAAGTATTAAACAGAAAATGATACCTTTATTTAATATTGATTTAGGTTTAGGATATAATTATCTGATACTTAATCTCTAAATATTTAAATTTTCTATGAAACTTTAATCTTTCTATAGCTATTGACTGTTACTGTTACTTCTAGAATACTTTTAGTTTTCACATCTCTTTTCTTTTATATAAAATTATAACGTTGAAATCGCATCATTTATCCTTCAAGTATATCTTTACAAATAAAAGAAGATTCATAATAGCTTGCAATAGTGTATCAGTAATATAAAATATGAAATGAAAGTATTTTCATAAAAATTAAATTTTCTGGTAATGTTTTACTTAGTTTAACATAAACCATTAAATTATTAGTTAAATAATGAATTAAAAATGGTTAAATACTAATTGAATTGTGTTATAGAAACGAATAATAAAATAAAGCGTAAGTATTTTAAGAGCAACCTAACAAAAATGTATATAATATTATTAGACTCGTTTTTTCGATGATATTTCTTATTCAAACTCCTTCTCATAGCCAGAATTCTCTCTCTTTCTCTCCTCCCCTTCGTCCCCTTATTCTTCCTTCAATTTTTCTCTAGGTTCTTATCATTAAACCCTAAATATGTATAAGTAATTTCTTTTTATTATCTTAACTAACAAAAACTACATCATACAAGTATCAATACTAATTACAATGTTGCACCGTATCTATTTGCATTATTGCTTAAAATTAGTTGAATGCAATTGTTATAAATTATTGTAATTGCTATCTATATTCACTCTGTATTATACTCTCTGTAAGATATTGTAAGCCGAATACGACGTTTTAAGCAACTGCAAAAAATAAATATTAGAAAATTTAGTTAGAAATTATTTAAGAAAAATAATAATCAACTAAAAAATTTTCTGAAAAGATATATTTTATTTTATTTTTAGCGGATAAATTTATGCATATTATTATTAAATGTAGACCCTTGAATCTATTGAGTCTATAATTAACATTTTATACTAACACCCACAAAAGAATCAAGATTCATAGAAATAATATAGGCGCTGGTAAATTCAATGGGCATTGTACTACGTCTCATAATCAGTAAAAAAGCTTTTTTTACATCCTGGCCCAATATACACCATTCCATTTCGAAAATATTGCTGGCAAGTTGTCGACTCTATATTTGATATCAAATAATATTAAAATGTGTAAATTAGTTTTGCAAACGAAAAATCAATTTAATTATTAATTAATGTAACTTATCTATTCGTTAAATTATAATTTATTCATAATTTATTATTTCAAAAATCGTGTACCTTTAGTTTTACTTCATTTCCATACCAGCAATAAAAAAAGATTTGCGTCAACATGCTGCACATGTATAACGCTAGCTGAATATACTTTGCATTTGTTGTGGTCGACCTAGTTAATTGATATAAATTGAAGCACACCACTAATGTGCTCACCATAAATTGAATAGCGATAGTAAATCTAAACTTTTCATTGACCATAACAGCAAAACTGCAATTAAACATCGTTAACTATTTCATTATCTGCAAATTATAATGATAGCTACATTGACATTTTCATTAATACGTCATTATTAATATTTTTGTGGAATTAGCTATATCGCATATGTATGTATAAATACAAACTCGAAAATACGATTATGTTGGAGAATGCAATCATGAAGGATGTGAGGCTCGTGTACTATTCTTCTCAAACGAGATTCCAGTATTTTAATCTGGCAGCAAATATGCATCAATAGTCCACAGATCAGGCCGTCACAAGCAACATGAAGGATGGATCCCATTATCAAACTTATCAATTGATGAGCGTACGTGACGTGAAATAAGACTGACGATGAATAATCATACGGTAACCAGGCTCTAAATGTCAATGTACGTCTTCTGTAGTCCGTGAGTAATGACGTTAACGTAATACACACGCAAGTCGTCTCAACCAGAATTGTATAATGTATCGTATTTGCTCTGCAAAATAACTGTAGACATTGTAGCGTTTCATTTGTAATTCAATTTGTAATTCAATTTGTTTTACATAATATCATTTTTTTAATTGTTTCCTAATCTGTAACTGTAGTAATATTATAATAATATTGTATTTAAATTAGCTTTCATAAACTTAAAAATATATAATATGTGAACAGCATAAAAATAGTAATAAGAAATATTTAAATTGTCATTTTAAAATTATACCTATTATATATTTGGAATAATTAAGCGATTAATTTTTAAATATACTTATACAATATTTTGGCATTTTCAAGCTACTTACTGCGCACTCTTATCAAATCTGTGATAAATCTCCATTTCTTTCGGATCCGATGGTCTACACGGTTTCTCCATAAGAATGTTGATTAAGATTGCAATATTTTTGCGATTTATCAACATATTAGTCATTTTACAACAAGAGACAATCATTGCAAGTAACATGTAAAAATTATCGGTAAAGTCAGCAGCATTGTCCACGGTAAGAATAATATCCAGTAATTGTGATAAAGTAAATGTATTTATTAATACAAATACGAAGAATGTATGCATGTGATAGATTACACGTTTACATGACGACGTCCAAGAATCCGGTTGCCAGCAACCGCAAATAATTAGAAATTTAAAAGTAGACTCTAATACCCGCATTATAATATTATAATTTCTAGAGTTTTATTTATCATAAAAGTTAATAGTATTAAAAATTTATGTACACTTTTTATGTATCTTTTTGCATTTTTCTTTAGTTATATAAAATTTTACGTACATAAAATTGGTAAAAAATTGAGCAATTAATTTTCTCTAAGTTGAAGTGAATACAAAAGTTTTGTCAAACAAAATTCCAAATTAAGCGTTATGGCGAAATTGTCTGCACAAATAATAATCTAATGTGCGGCAAACTCTTTAGGAGGACAATTTTAGAATGTCTATAGACTTGCGAATTTCTAGGGAGAATACTCCTCGTCTGACTTATCCCTCCTTATTCGATAGTATTTAATATTTAATTTGTAACCACATCCCTCGCACAGCACAGATGATAAACACAGACTTAGTTTGATGGTAGTATACTATATTAATATTTTAAAAAATGATACGTTAGAAAGCACGGCTGGAAGAAAGAAGCCGATAATCAAATGTTGCATAAAAGTGATCCGTATATCCCTATGCCACATAAAATATTAACATTGGCAAATTCTCATGCTGCTACTAGGAAATATTCAATAATCTAGGAAATATTACCTCTATTTGCAAATCATAAAAATACCAATTTATTATATCACTCATAGACGATAAGTTTTTCTCTCTCTCTCTCTCTCTCTCTCTCTCTCTCTCTCTCTCTCTCTCTCTCTCTCTCTCTCTCTCTCTCTCTCTCCCCCTCTCTCCCTGTCTCTCTCTCGCTCGCTCGCTCGCACACTCACTCACTCATTCACTCACTCACTTAATCACTTACTCACTGACTCACTCACTCACTTTTTCTTTCTTTGATTCCAATTGGTTTTCCTGTATTGACTCTATCATTATAGGTTTTCTTTTCCCTATCATTACAATTTATAGTTTAACTTTTAATGACAATTATAACGTTCTACTTATAGTGTATGACATGAGCATGTAGCACATATTAAGATAAGTTAATGAAAATGGCAACAAGTATATCACTTATTTCTTTCCGTTTATGATGTCAACTATACAAAAATTTATTATCAGTATTAAATAAAATATTTGATATATGTATAAACCTTGTGTTTATATGCACATGTGACATAGATTTACATTGTGTATTATATCACCGATATTTCTGCTTCACTACACGTGTACATTATGATCCTTGCGTTTGCTGAAGTATATTGTAAGCCGAATACGACGTCTTTAGTATCTACAACAGAAATTATTATTAAGTTATTTATAATGAATTGACATAAATATAAAATTGATATAAATGTATTTAATTAGTTTTTTATTCTAAACTTAATAAGTTTTATTCCAAACTTATAACTAATGTATTAACTAATAATTAATTGAAGTAAATTTCTATTTATTAAATGTAATAAATATCTAAATTTATTATTAATATAAACATATAAAATAATATTTCCCATTCAATAATAACATTGAAATACATTAATATTAAGATATGGTTATATTATTAAATATATTTAAGTGTATTATATAACATTTTTCATTTAAAAAAGTACATTTATTATTAAAGCTTTATTTGCAACTTCTGGTAAAGTATATGTTAACAAATTTTGACACTAACACCCACGAATGAATCCAAGTTCATAGAAATAACACAGGCACTAGTAAACTCGATTGGTACTGCAGCACGTCTTACGATCATTAATAAAGCCTTCTGAGCGTCTTCATTAAACTTAAACCATTCCATTTCGAAAACATTGTTCATCAACTGTCGACTCTATATTTAACAATCAAGAACCTACTATTCATTTTATTTACACAACATAAATATTTGTATAATAAATGAGAAGAGATATCCAATTAAAAAATCAACATACTTTCAATTTAACTTCGTTTCCATACCAACAATAAAAAAAGATTTGTGATAGCATAGAGCATGTATACATTAGTAATTGCATATACTTTGTTCTTAATGCAGTTGATTTGGTAAATTGATACAAATTAAAGCACATCACCAATGTGCTCACGATAAACTGGATAAATATAGTTACCCTAAATTTTTCATTTACTATACGAGCAAATCTAGAATTAGTGAAAAGTTACATTTGCAATTTCTAAAATTGAAAACAATATACATATACAATTTTTTTAAAAAGTATATAATTCTTATATAAAAGATAAAAAATCGTGTTTACAAAAATTACGACGAAACTCTTAATTAACGTAAAGTATGTACATCAATTATAATATATGAATACAGTTTGATAAGGAAATCTGATAAAAGGAATCTCACATATCTCACATATCTTCCAAAAACTAAAATACTCTGTTTTTTTAATTGTGGAAAATCTGTATTACACGCAAAAATGTATTCTATGCCTTAAGCCAACAGCACAAAATATTAGTTTTCCTATTGGATTGCTTATGAAAACTAATCGGGATGCAGAGTTTTAGATCAGGTGACTCAAAGCTAAATCCTGATTGGACCTCGTAAGCAATCCAGTAGGAAAATAGTATCGTGTGCCGTTAGCTTTAATAAAAAGTATCGCGTATCTGATGTAAAAGTAACCGAAAGTGAAAGGTATAGATTGGGTTAAACTGAAAAAAGAAAAGTAATGTACTATTTATCACGTAAAATTCGCAATAGTTATCGAGTAATTAGATTAAACATCTGAGCGAATAAGCGCGTAGAAAGCGGTAGGCTGTATTTTGTTCTAAAGAAATTACTAATTGCATGAAAAATTTACAATTAGAAAAGATAGATGACTATAATTTCTTGAAAATCAATAATTACGGGAGGTTTCAATGAGATTCCCAGATTCCCAGGAGATCCCCAGGATGTCCCCAAGAGGTCCTAAAGAAGTCCCAAGGATGGAAGATCTTAGCTGCCGAGTCCGGCCTACCGCTCCGCGCGCACTTATTCGCTCCGACGTTTCTGTTTATTGCTTAATAATTATTGCAAACTTGATAAAATAGTACATGATTTTTCGTTTCAATTCAATCCACTCTACATCGTTCGATCAGTTACTTTTACGGTTAGATAGACACCCTGTATACTAATTTTAATTATTACATTAGTTATAGGAACAAACTTGAATATATGATTGTGCTGAAGAACACATTCGCGAAGAATGTTAGGATTATTTGCGCTTTTTCTCAAACGGTGTTCCAATATTTCTATCTGACAACAAATGTGCACCAGGAATCCGCATATGAGACTATCACAAGCTACGTGGTGCACAGATCCAATTGTAAAACTTATCAATTGATGAGCGTATACAAATGGAAATAGTAGCGGCGAAGAATAGTCAAATGGTAGCCATGCTCGGAACGTCAAATTTCCTTTCCCAAATTCCGTCAGTAATGATGTCACGGCAACAGATAGACACGTTGTTTCGACTAAGATAGTATAATGAAGCGTATTTGATCTGTAAAATGACTATAGACGTTTTTACGTTTCACTTTTCATTCAATATGTTCTTGCTTTAACACTAAAGCGTTACATCTGATTTATTTATTCATATAGATAAAAAATAAACTTAATATAATGACGCGCAACCAATCATTTTAATTATATTTTAGTTACATGTATATTGTTGTATGTTTCAGAAGAACAGCGATAGCCGATGCTAGCTCGCGATGCTTACTGTATGAGTTTTTCGAATTTCTGTCGAATCTTCACTTCGTCAGGTTCAACCGGTTGGAACGGTTTACTCGTAAGGGTCTCAATTAACATCTCAATGTTGCTGCGATTCATCAACAGAGCCAACATCTTACAGCAAGAAACAACCATAGCGAGTAGCACATAGAAATTATCGGTGAATTCGTCGGAATTGTCCACGACCATAATAAGATCCACCAATTGCGACAGCATAAACGTGTGTATTAATAACAATACGAAAATAGTATACATGTGATAAACTAACCGTTTGAACGGCGTTACCCACGAATCCAGTAGTCCACAACCACAAATCGTTAATATTTTAAATGTAAATGCCAATATAAACATCTTCTTTGATGTTATCTTGTCTTCACGAGAAGAATTATAATATGTAATAAATTATTTATTCTATATTTTTGTGTACGGATACACACAAAATATTTTTTAGTGTCTGTTTTTTTAATTTAAATATAAGACAAATTTTTATCTTAACTCAGAATTTTCTAGCATTCCACAGCACAATTTTTCATCAAGTTAATCATTCACAAATGTATATGTACAACAATAAATTAATAACTAAATTACATCTTGAGCAACAATTTTCTTTAATTGTATATTATTAGATAATATTATAAAAAAGTTTCATGATAAAAAAAATTATCTCATGATATAATTTGATACACGTAAACTCTTACGGTAAACTGACGATCATCAAATATCTGTCTATAGCTTCACGATTTTCCGGCAATAATATAGCTTACTCAACTATTCCCTTCGACAACATTTATTATTCAGACTGCAATTGTGCATTTCACATAATAGTATTTTCATATAGTCGGCTAAACACAGCTTTGATAATATTACAGTATTATAACATAATGATACTTCATGAGAATTATGTTTTGCGATATTACATATTAGAAAATTGAGCTAAAAAGTAAAAAATAATTCTGAAATGTCAACTTAAGCTCTACATACTTACTCTTCATAAAATATTTACATCACTAGTTCATATACTTCTAAGTGAAAGATATTTTATTCATAAAGACGTAAATTTGCTATATCATGACATAAATAACGAATTTTTCTTCCTTGTATCGATTTCTACTACGGTCTGATTTCCAATAGAGTAAGTAATCTGACGTGTCTATGAGTATAATACATGATAAAATCCGTAAATGGTAAAATCTGTACAAATATAATATATTTTGATTAGTGCGCAAGTAAAAACATAATATTGTAGTCATACGATCAGCTGCAGTGAAGGTTCTAAGATTCAACACAACGTAATTTCTCTTCAAATGTCTTTCTATTTAAATGCCATGTTACAAGAGTCATACGAGTATATCATCATCGAATAAAATCATTTACCGTAGCGGTTTAATATTTTTGAATGAATACATACAATAATGATGCAAATCATATTATTGTATTCATCTTAACATGATCTTGCCTTGAGAGATATCGAAATATAGTGTAATTCTTCAACTTTGTCTCTGCCACTCTTACACTTGCTTCATTATGTTGTAAGCCGAATACGATGTCTTGAGTAACTGCAATTATTAAAGTAAATTGAATGTGCATACAGTCGATTCTATTAGTTACATTAAAAATTTTGGAAAATACGAAAATAGTTTTTAAAATAAATTTTAATCTTTCACCTTTCAATTTGTATCTCTTATACGTAACTAATGATTACTTTTCATATTTGTATTAAATATATTAAATATTTAAATTGTTTTTATAGGAAGAGCACTTAATTCTATTTTTAATTTATTACATTTTTTTTAAAATTAATAAAAATATATTTTTCATTAGATGTTTTACTTATAATTTTAATTATTAATTATATAGACAAAATAATTTTTGATACTAACACTCACGAATGAATCGAGATTCATCGAGATAACATAAGCACTACTAAGCTCAATTGGTTTTGAACTTCGTCTCATAATCATTATTAAGGAATCTGTATTATGTTTACTCAGTCCAACCCATTCTATGTCAAATATTTTATCGACAAGTTGACGACTCTATATTTAAAAATTTCGAACCTATTATTTATATAGTTTTTGCATAATATACAATATTAAATGTTCAAATAACAAGGAAATATATGTATATTTCAAACATACGTACCTTCAACTTAACTTCGTTACCATACCAACAATAAAAAAAGATTTGTGACAGCATGCAACCTAAATACATTATTAATTGCATATACTGTGCTCTTAACGCAGTTGATTTGGTAAATTGATAAAGAATGAAACACACTACCAATGTACTGACAATAAACTGTATGACAATAGTCAGTTTAAATTTTTCATTCACCAATTGAGCAAATCTACAATTCAAATATAATATTGTAACTTTCTTTAAATAATTTAATATAATATAAAATTTTCAACGGCTAAGAAAATTAAATAACATATTATATGAAAAGAAAAATCAAAGAAAGAAAGTTACGAATAAATGAATTGATTAAAGCTTAAACATGTAAAAAATACGTATTTAATATTTTTGAAAGCATGAAGAAATATACTTTATTCCTTCTCTAAATAATACAAATAAGAACTATGTTCTAATGTAATCAGAATGTAGGTGTAAAATATTTATACATATGTATATGTAATATTAATTGCCAATTGAAGTTAGTTGCAAAACCAATACAAACTTGAATACAGAATTATGCTGCATGACGGATTCACGAAGAATATCTTGATCGTGCGCGATTCTTCGCAAACGACATTCGAGTATTTCTATCTGACAGCAGACGTGCACCAATAATCCACAGATCAGACCGTCGCAAGCAATATGGAGCATAGACCCAGCAGTCAGACTTATCAATTGGTGCGCGTATACAATGCGATACAATGACGACGAGGAATAGTCGAACGGCAACCATGCTCTGAATGTCAATCTTCCTCTCCTAAATTCTGTCAGCAATGACGTCACAGCAATACACAAACACGTTGTTTCAACCCAGATTGTGTAGCAAAGTGTGTTTAGCCTGTAAAATGACTATAGAAAATTTTCCCTTTCATTCGTATCCAATTTTTACTTGGATTTAGCTTTACAACTTGTAATTTCTTTTGAATCATATATTCATTATATAATATTTATTTTTAAAAACTACAATGCGGCATTATTCAGTTTCAATAAATAATTTATATTAATTAGTATATGTATATGTAAGACCAAAAATTATTTGAAAGCTATAAACATTATTAATGTATTTATTAAAAATTCATAAAAATCATTAAATCAACAGCATTAGAAACAATTATAATTGCAAGAATAACATGCAAATTATTTAACGTGGCTCCTGCATAAACCAACCAAAAGTAGAAAAAATTAAAATTTAAGTATGTTGTAGTTGTAAATTTTATCTATCAGTACGCGAAATTTCAGACCCGGTCGCCGATAAAATAAAATAAAGAAAAAATGTTAAAGTTGTATTTCTTAACAAAAAACGAGATAAGCATAATAAGTGTCACAAGGATTCAAATATGCTAATTGTAAGTACATGAAGTCACCGACCTCTGCAAGTAAACACTTATTAGTAAAGTTAAAAGATACAATGTTTTGAGGAAATTTGACAGCTCTTTAAGACTTGACAATATCACATATTTTTAAATATGTTTTTAAATATGCATATATAACTTAGCATATCAATGCATTTGATCAGTAATGCATTAAGTGATAGTTTTTTAATGAAAAAATTCATATAAATTTATAAAAATCAAAGGAGCTCTATCAAAGCACCCACACTAACCGCTCCTTCGTGCAGGAGCCACCTTAAATACCGTAAATATGTAAATTGTCTAAAAATTTGAAAGCTTTAAAAAAAATTAGTTTAAAATTTAATTAGCTTTAGAAATTTAAATAAATGTTAACTTGTTATAGCTTAACGTAAATAATTTGCAACATTTCAATTTTGAAAAACTATATACACCCTTTTGTATGCAGTTACATTTTAAATGTCAAGAATTGTTGTATAATGATACTCACTGTACATGTTTATCGAATTTCTGCTGAATTGCAATTTCGTCGGACTGGACCGGTCTACATGGTTTCCTTAAGAGAATATCTATTAGCATCGCAATATTACTGCGATTCATCAACAGAGTGAGCATCTTACAGCAGGAAACAAACATTGCGAGTAGCATGTAGAAATTATCAGTAAAATCGTTGGCATTATCCACAGTCAAAATTAGATCCATCAATTGTGATAGCATAAATGTATGTATAAGTACCATTATGAATATGGTGTACACGTGATAAACTAACCGTTTATACGGTGTCGTCCAGGAATCTGGTATCCAACATCCGCAGATCATCAATATTCGAAACGTAAGCGCTAATATTCTCATTCTGATATTTTAATGTATTTCTGTCGAAGTCAATCAATATCTCCAGATAAATCGTGTGCTAGTGTATCATTTCTTACAGATTATAAATATTCTCTATGTTTCTTATTTCAGACGTAAAATATTAACTATATATTTTGCAATATTTAATAATCACTTAATATAAATGTGCCCAAAATTATAATCGTTAACACTTTTCACTATTTACTACTTCAAGTGCTAATATAATAAACATGTTTTCTCAGAAAATATTATGGTACACGGTGAGCTCTTGAGAGAGACTGACGATCATAAAATGTCTATAGTCTTGCGAACGTCCCAATAATAATATGTTTTACTTAACTTCCCCTCTCGCATGAGACTATTTTATTATTCAGATTGCTATGTCCTTTAAATAATAATTTCTCTATGCATCAACTTCCTGTGCAATTTTCTTCTGGCCATTAAATATAGTCACAATATTATATCTTGACATAGTAATAATTTATGAGAGATAAAATATTAAGAAGCAGAGTTAAGCCAACGGTGCACGGTACTATTTTTCCTACTGGATTGCTTACGAGAGCTAATCAGGGTTTAGTCTTAAGTCACCTGATCTAAAACTCCGCATCCTGATTGGCTCTCGTAAGCAATCCAGTAGGAAAAATAGTACCGTGTGCCGTTGGCTTTACAAAACAAAAGAGATGAGATGTTTGAAAATTCTAAATAATGCAGTATTCCATACATATATGTTGCAGTATTAGGAGACATTTAATTTACTTCTAAATCGGAAAGTATAAGTGGTAATAAATTTTGCTGCTTGATTTTTGTGACAGTAGTTTCCAATTGAACATTCAACTTGCAATTATATCTTAAGAAATTGCACTCTACATACGCATACTAATAGATAGTATAAATATGTAAAACGTAAGTGAAAAAATTGTTATACAGTGCTTATTAAAAAATAACTAATGTAAATAATAATGCAGTTTAAATTGTTTTTCTTTTATCTAATTAGAGCATTAATATGTCAAAATATATTATGTAACAATTAATTATGTGTAAATTAATTATTAACATTGAATGAAATAGTTTATTTTAATTCCTAATATTATATGCATATTTATGAAAGATTTGTATAACATGGAGAATATATATAACAACTTTGTTTTCCTATTTGGTTTGGTCGTTTTGCGTTTGCTGAAGTATATTGTAAGTCGAATACGATGTTTTAAGCAACTGCAACATGCAAAGTGATTTTGTTTCGATATAAGTTTAAAATTTATTTAATAATTTATACCTTATAGAAGCGAATTAATAACCACTCTTTAATTATCGTGAAATAATATCGTGATATGAAAATTAATTGCATACTAACACCCACAAATGAATCCAAATTCATTGGTATAACGTAGGCACTACTAAATTCAATTGGCTTTCTACCGCGTAATGCAATTATTAGTAAATTCTTTCTTGCTTCACGCCCTAAAGTAAGCCATTCTATTTCAAATAGATCATTGACTAATTGTAGGCTCTACTTAAAGACAAAACAAAATATATTATTAAGGTTTTAAATACAATAAAAAGATTGAGTTAATACTATTGATATTGCATATGCATTTTTGGAAACATTGAAAAGAATTTTGCACTTTTACAATAAAACATGTATTTGTCAGTGTTATATCTGGATAATGTAAAAAAGCTATTAAATTAGAAGAAACATTTATATAGGAATTTATGTATATTTTAAAAGAGCTCATACCTTCAACTTGACCTCATTTCCATACCAGCAATACAAAAAAATTTGCGTCAACATGCACGACATGTACATTCCTAATTCAACAAATTTTCCACTTTCTTTTGTTATCTGATATAAAGTGAAACACACCACTAATGTACTTACTATGAATTGAAAGGTAATAGTAAACCTAAATTTTTTATTCAATAGAAAAGCAAACCTGAAATCAATTAGATAGTTTTAACGTGTTTTATCATTGACAAAAATATTAAAAATATAATAATAAAAAATTACGAGAGTTATTATCTCTGATCTATACGTATATGCATATATAAATTAAAAGTTAAAAAGAAATACACAAATAATGTTAAATACAAATATTATTTAAATAAAGAGACATTATTGCAACTCTTGCTTATTTTATGTATAATATACAGGGTGTTCCGTAAAGATCGGAACAAGACTTAAGGGTAAATTCCTGAGATCACTTTAAGACGAAAATGTGAATACCAAAATGCTAAGGCAACGATAGTTTTTGAATTAGACGCGTTTAAAGTGCGTTGCACCATACCTGAGTGCGCGAATTTTAGGCTACCTTATTCGCTAACTTTAAACGCGTCTAATTAAAAAATTACTGTTGCCTCAGTATTTTGGTATTAAGATTTTTGTCTTAAAATGATCTCAAGAATTTACCTTTAAGCCTTGCTCCAATCTTTATGGACCACCCTGGATATATTTTTTTTTAATCATAGAAAAACTATGATGCACAATCACAAAGAAATTATAAAAGTAGAGAATTGTTATTATAACATTAAATGTTAAAACGAACTTAAATAGAATGTTGTGTTGAGTAACACAATTGCGAACTAGTTTCGGATTATGTACGATATTTTTCAAACGACAACTTAATATTTCTAGTTGACAGCATATATGTAACAATAATCCGCAAATAAGACCGTCGCAAGCAACATGTAAGATCGATCCAACTGTCAAACTTATTAATTGATGAAAATACGTAAAATGGAAAAGTGTTGTTGAAGAATAGTCGAATGGCAGCCACGCTCTGAAGGTTAACTTTTTCTTCCTGTAATCCGTGAACAATGATGCCACCGCCGTGGATGCGCATGTCAATTCAACCAGAATCATATAATGCAACGTGTTTGTCCTGTAAAATGGCTCTGTATACGTTTCATTTTGATACTCAACGCTTTCTCTAACATTAACTCCTTCCGATACTTTTTATCAACATGAAACAATCCTAATTAAATAAGCCTGCTAGTTTTTCAAATTGAAAAATTAATTATATAAAATTTTAATTTTGTAATACATAGATTTGATACATAAATCTGATAAGAAGCAATGCGTATTAAATATCAATTATATATATTAATTATATCAAATATCTCTGTTACAAGAAGAATATTGCCACATAATGTGTAAAATTCGAACAAAATTTGATTATTGAAAAATAATACTGTCTAATAAAAAGATTTATTAATTAAGAAGTTATGAAATTCTAATAAGGTTTTATATCAACTTCTTAAAAGAATATAGATTATTGAAATCTTAAATACGTAATTAAGTAAGAAATACAATTAAAAAGTGATGGTCTTGCAACGTACTTACTCAATAAGTTTATCATATCTTTGTCGTATTTCCACTTCAATTGGATCGCATGCTCTGCACGGTTCATTCGTAAGAATGTCTATTAGCATGGCAATGTTACTACGATTTATTAACAGGCTATACATTTTAAAACAAGAAACTATCATGGCAAGTAGCATGTAAAAATTATCCATGAAATCATCCGGATTGTCGACGGTCAGAATTATATCCAAGAATTGCGACAACGTAAATGTATTGATCAATAAAAGTATAAAAATAGTGTACATATGATACATTAAGCGTCTATGCGGAGACGTCCAGGAATCTGGTATCCAACAACCGCAACCCGATAAAATTTTGAACGTAAATCGTAATAGGTACATTATAATTTTGATCTCGTTTATCTTTTCACATCGAAAATCTTGTTTTATACAACAAAAAGTAATTTATCGGAGACGTTGCGTTTTCTATTTCTGATTTCGAATAACCATAAGATTGTAGCTTAGGCGCTATACGATTATTTATTATAAACTAATTTACCAGACAAGTTACAGACAAGTTAGTAAGAACTGTCAATTAATAATTTCGTTAAAAATTGAGTTTTTATAGCGACGCACAGTGAAATCTTGATCACCAAATGTCTATAGACTCACAATCTTCCGATAATAGTACGACGTACTCAACTTCCCTCTTCATACATCAGGACTTTTATTATTTACACTGTAAATATACCCTTAGACTGTGAATATACCCATTGCATAATAATATTTTTATGCAGAAACAATTTAATCATTAAATAAAAATCTGATATTGCGTATGATGTATTACGACATAATAATATTTCATAAGAAAACTACTCCGTCGAGACATAAGAATTGTAAGTAGAAGAATGAAAAAGAATTCTTTGAAAATGAATAATCATGAATAATACATTGTTCTTTGCTAAACGTTAGGAAATATCAAATTTACAGTTATATCTTACATCTAGTTATATTCCATTCGAACACTTTAATATCCCGTCACGTTGTAATAAATCACAATCTTGTGTATTTGCGTGCACATTAATATAAAATAATGTATGAAATTGTGTAAAAAATATGGATACACGTATATCGTAAGTAAAGATGTGTAAGAAAATATAACACAAGTAATAACACCATTTAAATCATTTCCTTTTTATGTAATTTATATGCAATTATGACAATACTAAATTATAAGAGTCAAGAAAACTGTTTTTTAACTTTTTACTTCAAATTATTCCTATAACATAAAAAGCAGATAACAATATAATCTCTTATTTAGCCTTTAATACTTGTATCTTGCATTTGCAGAAGAACATTATAAGTTGAGTACGACGTCTTGAGCAACTGCAACGAGCAAAATGTTTAATTAAATTTGGAATTTGTATTCTGAAACTGTTATAAAAGACAACACTGATTACACTATATGAAGACATAACATTACACTGTCAAAATAAATTTGTACTAACACCCACGAACGAATCGAGATTCAAGGGAATAATGTAGGCGCTCGTCAATTCGATAGGGATGTTACCACATCTTGAGATCGTTAAAATTTCTTTCCTTACATCTGGCTCCAGTTCGAGCCAGTCTATCTCGAATAGATTATTGATCAATTGCAAACTCTGTGCTCAAAGATACAAAATGTTCATTCATTTATCTTGATTATAATGAAAAAGATATCGAGTTAAACAAATTAAATTTTCAAGGTATTCTATACATTATTTTGTGTAAAACTGTAAGTATTAAAACAAAACTAGAGAAGTTTTGCACATCGATAATGTAATAGTAACATATTTATCGTTACAATATCTTATCCAAATAATATTTGAAAAGTGAAAAGTTGACATTATTACAATTGTACAAAAGAAATAATGTAAAATATTTAATTTTTTTGGATATGATTAAATAAAAAGATTATAAAACCGATTTATTTTAACAATATACCTTCGATCTGACTTCGTTGCCATACCAACAATACAAAAAGATTTGTGTCAGCATGCACGACATGTACAATCCTAATTGGATGACCGGACGAATTGCATTCATTTGTGTCAATTGATATAAAGTAACGCACACCACCATCGTACTTACTATAAATTGTGAGGTAATGGTCAAACTAAATTTTTTATTTACCATAACAGCAAACCTGAAAGTAATAAGGTATATGCTGTATTATTTAATTTTTACAAATGTAAATTAATTTTGCAAACATAATGTATCTCACGAAAATCATAAAAGGGATACTTTGCTCTTTAAAAAAAATTACATTGAATACGTGCATATTAAATACAATACGGTTCTACAACATTTCTGTAATTTTTTTTCATAGACTGCAAATAAAACTACGTTGCATATGTAAAAATACACATAGATCGCAGAAAAACACAGTGTTTATTACAATATTAGTTATATAAAACAAACCTCATTATAAGATTGTGTTGAACAACGCAGTCCCGAAGAATTTTTGGGTTGTATACGACTCTCTTCAAACGAGAATTCAGTATCTCTAATTGACAGCATACATGCAATAGTAGTCCACATATTATACTATCGCAAGCAACATGTAGAATACCTCCGACAAACAGGCCTATTAACTGGTGGAAATATATAAAGTGAAAAAGAATTGTCGTTGAGTAGTTGAATGGTAGCCATGCTCTATATGTTAACTTTTTCTCCCAGTAGGCCGTGAAAAATGATTGTACAGTCGCATACGAGCTTGAGAGCTGAACTAGAATTGCATAATGTAGCGTGTTCATCCTGTAAGCAACTACAAGCGGTTTTACATCTCACTTATTATTCAATATCTTCATCAATATTATCTGCTGCAATCGATATATTTTCTAAAAGCAATTTTATTTCCAAAACAGTGATTTATAAGAGCTTTAGAGTTTTGCTGTATTAAACTGATAGAAAACGAAGCATTGTGAAAACAAACACAAAAGAATATTAGACATTTATAATGTCTTTTACAAATAATACGAGAGAGATCTGTAATAGAGCTTTAATTTAATAATTTACTGTTAGTGCTGAAAAAATTAACAGATTGTGTACTAAAAGAACTAATTATAATTTCACTATACTCCACTATAGTCCACTATAGTCAAATTTCAAATAGTGTAAATATGAATTATATTTAATTCTTGAAATAATTAAAAAGCTATTACGTCATAATACTTACTCAATAAGTCTATCAAATTTCTGTCGAATTTCCACTTCGTCTGGTTCGATTGGTTTACACGGTTTCTTCCTAAGAATATCCGTCAGCAACACGATATTACTACGATTGATTAACAGACTAAACATTTTAGAGCATGAAATTATCATGGCAAGCAACATGTAAAAATTATTGGTGAAGTCATCAGCATTGTCTACTATCAGGATCAAGTCCAAAAATTGCGACAGTGTAAACGTACTTATTAGTACAAATATAAAAATTGTATATGCATGATACAACAAACGTTTGTGAAGAGATGTCCAAGAATCCGGTATCCAGCAACCACAGCTTGTTAAAAGCTTAAGTGTAAAATCTAACACGCGCATTATAAACTTTCTCCGATTATTTCCAGTACCTATATGAAAAATAGTTATTTAACATGTATCTTTTTCCGTCTATTTCAGACACAACATCAATAGATATGTATGTTACTAATTATTTTTGTAGAGTTAAATTACATAGAGCACGTTATATAAACTAACAATTAAAACGTTCAGCTGTCAATCAATTTTGTTGAAAATATTTTTTATTGCAGTACACGTTAGAATCGTTTTCACGGTGGAATAGCTCGCAATAAAATCTTTACAAAGACTGACAATGTCATTGAATGTCTATAGTCATACGATTTTCTGACCAAGATATTTTTCACCTCCCTTCGTGAATGAAGATCTTTATTATTCAGGTTGTACACTTGTGTTTCCCAGATAATTTTAATATATCAGCTAAAGAGAAATACAATCGTGAGATATAAATTCCATATTACTATGACATAAAACTCTACGAAAATAAAACCATGAATAAAATAATAAAGTACAGTTCTTATGAAGTAAGTTTAAGAATAAAAAAATAGAAATCCATGATCGTCATCGTAAATATAATTGAATCTATGTCTCTTTTCTCTTGAGAAAAATATCTTTAATTTAAGCTGATTGTATGATGGTACGTCAGCAGTAACGAAAATCTTTCTTTATATTCATTACTTTTGCTTTGAATATAACAAGTTTTAAGTATTTTTATTATACATATACGTAAATTTTAAAATACATAAGTGATTAAATATTTTCTCAAATATACTAATATTAATATATAATTATACTGTTGGCATAAAACGTAAGTAAAAATGCATTCTAAAGATATTATCTATAAATGTTAGCAGGAGAAAATATTGTACATGAGATGTCTTTTCATTTAGTAACTTTATGTAACACACAAAATTATTTTACCATACTTTAACTTAATGTTTTACTTTCATACACACATTTGTTTTATACCAAGATAACATTCATACAAATACAAAATATAAATATTAATTTCCTTCTACTTTTGTATTTTTACTATTTCATTATCGCATCTGTTGGAGTATGTTGTACGCCGAATACGATGTCTTAAGCAACTGCAATAAATAAAATTATTTACTTGCTATGAATTTATACTATAAATTAATAATCAATTAATTTTTAACAATACAAATAAAATATATTATAAAAAGTTAATTCTGTGACTTATAAATTATTTGTAATTAAACTGTCTACTAATATAAAACCTTAAGAGTCGCGTACAGTTTTTGCGTTTGTAAATCTTATTATTGGCTTTTATGTACAAAATAATACCAGAGCGGAGTGTGAACTGCACGGTAGAACATTTTCATATAAAAAACATTGAGGTTTGAAGTCTAATTCGTATCGCATTATGTCCCTGAAATTTTCAAGGTCCCGAAATTTCAAAGTCCACTCCGCTCTATTCGTCGCAATAAACATTTTAGATTAAATTTTTAATTGAAAATAGATGTTTATACTAACACTGACAAATGATGCAAGATTCATAGAGATCACGTAGGCACCGGTGAATTCGATAGGTAGCATACTGCGTGTCATAATTATTAGTAAAGTCTTTTGCATTGGATGATCCAATGTAAACCAATCCATTTTGAAAACATTACTGACCAGTTGTCGACTCTGTATTTAAGAATATATACGTATAGAAAATTTTATTTATTAAATTTTCTAACTTTAGTTTAAACTAAAGTAATTAGAAAGACATTCAAGTTGTATGTATTTTTGTGTAAATTGATTTCATATCTATATCTATATACAATGTATGATAAGATAAAATAAAATTCATAGACTAATTCAAAAGTAAGTATTTGTACCCCCCTCTCTCTCTGTAATGTATTTTACTTCATTTGTATAAATTAATTTTTGTAATACAATTTTACTCTCTTACATGTTACTGGCTCTCATATTAGACATTAAGATACATACATATTATTAATAAACATGCAAGAAAGAAGCAAAAAAGTAAAAAATTAAAATTTATACAAGGCGTCTGTTAGTAAGTGTAACACCCATAATGGGTAGATAAAGGGGATTAAATGAAGTAGGAAAGTTCTTTACTATTTTGTGATTATAGGCCATAAGGAATAAAAACTTAATTAATAAAGATTTATGAAGCGCACGCTGACTTGCGAATCTTTATTAATTTCTCATTATTTATTGCAAAAATCGCAAAATGGACTTTTCTATTTAATTTAATTTTTTCATTTACCTACAATGGGTGTGTTACACCTATCATCAAACACCTTGTATATAAAAATATATTTGTGCACACCTTCAGCTGAACTTCATTTCCGTACCAGCAATAAAAAGAGATTTGTGTCAACATGCAAAACATATATAAGACTATTTGAATATATTTCGCACTTAAAACGCTCGTCTGCGTCAGTTGATGCAGATTGAAGCACACTACTAACATACTCACTAAAAACTGGACGGTGATTATAAATCTAAATTTTTCATTTACCATTAATGCGAATCTACAATTAATCAGACATAACTTTCAAACATTTCTGATTATACTTTTATATTTATATTGTAAATTATATTCTTCTATAAGTATGTTTTGAGAAATTATTATCTGTAACAATAATAATAAAGAACTGACTGGATAATGCATGTATGCTGTACGATGCATTCACGAAGAAAATGTGGCTTATCTACGATTTTTTTCAAATGACATTCCAATATTTCCAGCTGAGAACAAATGTGCATCAATAATCCGCAAATTAGGCTGTCGCAGGCAATTTGAAGGACTGATCCAGCAGTCAAGCTTATCGATTGGTGAGCGTAAGCAATTCGAAATAGCGTCGGCGAAGAATAGTTAAACGGTAACCATGCTCGAAAAGATAATCTATGTTTTCTGTAGTCTTTGAATATACTGCTTACTAAAGCAAACGCACATGTCAATTCGACTAAAGTCGCGTAGTAGAGGGTATTGGACCTGTAAAATAGATATTTCGGATTTCCCTCTTTATCTTTTTACTAGATCTATCTTTTTTACTTTATCAGTCAAGTAACACTTTAATTTAACGTTGTGCAAAATTAATCCTTGAATAAATCAACTTTAAAAAAGTTGCTTTGTGTTTTATCTAATGCTTAATTATATAACAATACTTTATATGCGCAATATTTTCCGTGATTGTTACTTTCTTACATAACTAACACGTGATTTTGTAACTAATAATTAGGTATTTTAAAATACTTGCTGTACGAATTTGTCGAATTTCTGTCGAATCTCTATCTCATCGTGTTCAATAGGCCTGCATGGTTTCTTCATCAAAACGTTGATCAGCATCGCAACATTGGTACGATTTCTTAATAAACTGAACATTTTGCAGCATGACACGAGCATGGCAAGCGTCACATAGAAATTCTCGGTGAAGTCGTCGGCATTGTCCACAGATAAAATTAAATCCATCAATTGCGACAACGTAAATGTATTTATTAGCGAAACTATAAGGATTGTATATATATCATACATAATACGTTTATATCGTGACGTCCACGAATTCGGTGGCCAACATCCGCAAATGGTAAGAATTTTAAACGTAAACGTCAAAACGCTTATTTCTTTTTTACTTGTCATGTTCGTGTAAATAATGTTACGAGATAAAGATTTTACTGTGCAAATAATACAAATAATACAAAATATTTTTGTATTATATAAATTTTCTATATTTCTCAATTTTTTCAAAAGTATTGCACTTGTGATATTGCAAGAAGAACCTGATCAATTCAGATTCAGTATAATTTCCAAATACCTAATTTCCGATTGTGTTAAACATTAATTAAATTTTCGATAAAAAGAAACTGATTGTAAAATAAAAAAACGGTGATAGATTTTAATTTAGTGTCTCCTGATCGGGAGTTAAAAAATACACATATACATTGAACACTGCAAAAATACGACGAATATATTCTTTGCAGCACAACCAATGAAAAGATTTCACTGATGATCATAAAGGAGTCTATATTTTCGCAATTCAATTTTTCATCTGCAACTTCCGTCTATGCGTTCGACACTATGTCATTATCGTGACATGAAACTTGCAATTTGGCGTCCCTACGCAGAACGATGTTTTCGCATACGCAACAGTTTAAAAATGCATGTGTTATACGTGATATCGTGCACTGCCACTTTTATGTCAAACTGCGGCTTACAGTTCAACATTATGCCGTACAATGTCAGCAAACTAGCAATTACGGTTGAGCCATATGAAATCTTGATGCATACGTAGTTTAAATCATTTTCAATTTAATGCTACCATAAAGTACAGTCGAACGCATCATCCCGACATTCATTGATTAAGTTGCCGAATCAGTTACTTTTGTTAAAACAAAAGAAAATATAATAATTTAAAGATTTGTCTTAGATCATACAAAAAAATTTATCTGCTTTTTCAAATGGTGTATATTGAAGTGCAGTGAAATTTATCACAACACATTGAAAATTATATATAGTAAGTAAATACAAGAGTAATATATAAAATATGTATAGTAGTATATAGAATATATGTATGTATACCATTATAACTGTAAAAGTGAACTAGATTAATTTTGTTATTCTCAATAATAGTATTTAATATCTTCTATCTCCTATAAAAAAATCATTAACAATAAACATAAACCAATCTCTTAAAAATATTGTAAATATGAAAAAATATGCATTATCTCAATTTAATAACATATGTCTATAGGTCTATTTATTAATTTTAGATTTATAACATTTTGATTGAAACATATATAGCTTTAGAATTCTTTGCACATAGATATAATTTTATAACAAATTTGTAAATAAACTTGTCGCCAAATAAAACTTTTTAAGTCTTGTTTTCATTGCAGATTATCTGCTGTCAGTATATTTTTTTACAAAGTTGAGAAAGAATCGATGACATAATAAAGACAGACCGTTGATCGACTAAGGATAATAACGTTAAGGTGCAACGACATTATTGATTCGAGGTACAAAATGTGAAACGAAAGAATATTATCTATAGAGTATTGCCAGAGAGAAGACTGAGAACGGCCTCATGCCGGTGATCTAGTGAATCTAGTAAGTTCTGAAATCGTGCTGATTCGCAACGCCATCACTTCCATTTATCGTACACGAAGGAACTACGTTGCCACATCTATTTCTCGACATGGTAAAACGTTTGGTTTAGATCCATAATACAATTATGGCTCGGTATCCTTTTATCTTACATACATATGTATAACTACGATTAAAATTTTTACGTGTGCTTTGAAATAAAAGAATTTTATCAGATATTTTCATAGTAAAACATTTTGCAGAGAAACCTATGACCGAATCAGTAAAACTAATTTTTTTCAATACTTCCCAAGAGTAACAATATTTTAATAAATAATTAATAAAGAACACATAAAGAAGTTACGAAAAATATTATAGCATTTTGTGCACATTAACATACAAAATTTAATATCCAAATGATTGTAACAAACTTTGAAATTATTTTGGTAAAGTTATAACTAAATTTTTATGAATCTAAAATTATTGCAAACATATAAATTAATAAATAGCCAAATAATATATATTCTATACATTCCCAATATTATAATTTCAAATATTTATCTATATTTTGTAATTATCGTCAATCGGTAACCAAGGTATACAAAACTTACGACATATGAACTATATTCTTATGAAATCTACCAGATGACACTACTGTTCAAACTCGAACTCGATTAATAGACTCATATGGTTGGTTTGTATATTCCTCGAGTTTTTTTTATTGTTTCTATTTTATATGTATACTATTATCATAATAATTTAATATTATTAGTTTTTAAACATTTATAATTAGTCAAAATTTTGATAAAAATCAATCTCCGTAAACTAATTTTTATATTATAAATAAATAATTTTTATGTATTAACCATTTATTGTGATATATAGGTAATCAATATCTTGTTCATTTTTCAGCAACAAAATTATAAAGAAAAATCTATTATTATGAAAATATGTTAACTTCTGTTAAATGTTCTGTTAATTAATTAATTATTGCTATACTTTAGTATCTACAGTATACTTTATAACATATGTATAATGCACTACTGATTTAGTTCGATACAAAATGATACAACAAGCATGCTTTAAATAAAACGTTTATATCTATAATTTAAATAGGATCTCTATTTTTATAATTTTATGTATTCTA